ATTTATATACTCAGTTCACCTTCTCTTTACCTTCAGGGACACCCCACCTGAACGTGTTGAGACGATGCTCCGTCTGATTCACTTCATTCCAACTGTTCTTCTCTTTCACTGAGGCGTTGAAAACGTGTAACTGGATCCGATGAGCGTTTCCTTTGTGTCTCTGAGCTTTGCTTTGGTTTCACAGTTCTACGTACGTGACGTTCAGGTCGTCTCCTGGTTCCTACAGAATGTTCAGCGTGATGATGAAGAGACCACGTGACCTTTGTGTGAACTCGGAGCTCCACCTCCATCACTGCTGCTTTAAAAAGAGACGACTCATGTGACCTTGAACTTTCATCTGGAGCCGAGCAGACACAACATGGAGATAGTGTTGGTCTGTGAGCTTGTTGTTGTGCGATCGGCGTCACGTAGCCAGTGAGAATATTATTGAGTCAGGATGTGACGCTGCATCATTGCAGAGGAAAAATAAAAATAAATGTAAATATTAAAATGTTTATTTTTTAACCATCTGCTTGTACCCGAAGCCAAATCATGATGATTGCCACCTGCTGGCTGGCTGCAGTTTAGGTCATAAGATTCCAGTCAAATCTGTGGCAAATAAAAAATATCCAGTGCTTCAAAATACAGTAAAATACAAAATTCAGTGAAATTCAGTGGTAGATATTTAGGGGTAGTTATCATGTTTGTAAAGTGCTGATGCAGGATTGACGATTAGTGATTCGATGTTTCTGCAGTAAACAGGAAGTCTTACTTTTGAGTCTTTCCCTGTGGAGAGTTATTTAGAGGAGGTTGAGTCCTGCAGGATTTTTACACCTCTGCACTGAATGTGAGCAAACGATTCTGTCCAGCTGCTTCTCTGTAGAACTGTTTCCACGGATGTAGTGAAAGTGCCAGTGGACACAAAGAACGAACTCGGCAACAAAGTAGAAGCAGTAAATGTTTAGAGCGACAGGGTCAGTAACACATTCTCCATGTTGTCGTCTACACTGGTGGTTTTCTTCTGGATGGAGGTCATGTGACAGGAGCCTGACCAATCACTGAAGGCAGTGTTCCAAACAGCAAGAGGTACTGAGTGTTGACATGTTTCTGATTCTCAGAGTTCACATACGACAGAATAAAACTCTGATGTAGATCTGATCTGCTGAAACTTTAATCCTCCACAAACTCGTCAGGTGTAAACTGTTTCTGCAGCAGAGCAGCAGGTCGTCTCACAGGATGAAACATGTCTAAGTTCAGGACACACGTGATCTGAGTTTACACGTGGAGCTGCTGAATGAAACCAAGTACGTCCGCACACACACAGACACACACACACAGAGACACACACAGAGACACACACACACAGAGACACACACAGACAGAGACACACACAGACAGAGACACACACACACACAGTGAAGCAATGTTCAGTAATGATAGGGACTGAGGGGGAACGATCTGTCTACGTGCTGGAACAAGCTCACACCTCAGAGAAATGAACTAATGGTTAAAACCACCAACAGAAACGTGTCTGTAAAACATACAAACATCACTGGAGGCATTTGTAATAAAAATCTATAACCTACTTAACTTTCTGTTGAAATCCTCCACAACACAAAAGTCTAATTATTCTTCCAAGAGCAGCAATAAAACACTTACAGGTGAAACGCTGAGCTCGTGGTTACGACACAGGAAGTCGTGTCAGAGGTCACAGACAAGGAAAGCGGGTCGGTAACATGATGACTGAAATGATGGCTGAATGAAAACATGAGGTCATTTAACTTTAGTTCTTCTCTCTCTGATGTTTGTTTATTGTTTCTAATCAGTTTGACTTGAATTAGTTATTTATGATATTAAAACAGGCTGAGACGTCATGATTGACAGCCGAGAATGACTCAGGATTGGTTGAGACTGGGGGTAAGGGCGGGACCTTCATACCACGATTGCTACTGCACAGACTCTGAATGACGATGAAGTCATCACCACAAGGGGGCAGCAGGAACCTCCCTATATGCTCACAACACAAATTAAACCATGCCCCACCTTGTTACTGTGTGTGTATATAATGTATTGGCAGCAACAAGGCAGTGGGGGCCCCCCAAATTCTGCTTAGGGCCCCATAAAGGCTAAGGCCGGCTCTGGGTCAAGTCGTTTCAACAGAAGAATCCAGATCAGTATAAACAGAAGAAGCAGCAGAAGAAGCAGCTGTGATGTTGTGAGCCTCTACAGACACAGCTGATTATAACAGAGTCATTAAGTGTTGGACATCAAGTTATAAATATTTGTACAGATGTTGAACTCTACAAACATCTCTAAGTGTCTTTATCCAATTCACGGCTCAGGTCAGTTTACACTTCTCAGATCTACCATCTCTATTCTGTCTAAATATGTCATTTGTTTTTCCTTATTATTGTAAAGTTGAGTTTTTGATGTAAATGCTCAGAAGAACCAGGATGTTTGTGTTTCAGCAGACGTCGGCTCTCTCTGGGCGGCATCATGTTTACACAACCTGCAGGTCTGGGCAGAAATAGACATTCACAGTCATTAAACTGTGATGAGCGTCATTAAGCACAGAACTGACAATGATTTTCTCATCTGTGGAGTATGAGGAGGATTACGCATAAAAACAGTTTGAAGCAAATAATTTTCTAATCGATTACATGTGCAATACAACGGCTTTGTCCCATCATGCATCATGGGTGGTAACTGAAGCAGAGTGGAGATGTTCCGAACATTTGACAGTTCTATTGTTTCCACAGTCAAAGACTCTGGAGAGCTCACAGCACTTCCTGCTTTCATCTCCAGCTGTTGTCCATCACCCAGGCAACAAGTTGTTCTGACATGTCCTGATTGATGGCTGTGGGATGATCTGGAGCTCTCATGTGTGAGGTTCATAAGGTTCATCACAACAACATTAATTTACAGCAGCAGGAAGGAATGAGACAATTACACAATTTGAAACACTGCGAATGTCAATGTTCAAACATCAAACATAACACATCAAATGAAACATGAAACATCACATCAAAGGTCAAACATCACATCAAACATCACATCAAACATGAAACATCACATCAAACATAACACATCACATCAAACATGAAACATCACATCAAACGTAACACATCACATCAAACGTAACACATCACATCAAACATCACATCAAACATGAAACATCACATCAAAAATGAAACATCACATTAAACATCACATCAAACATTACATCAAACATGAAACATCACATCAAAGATGAAACATCACATCAAACATTACAT